GCAAATAATGAATCATGGAGCACTACATCAAAAACTAATGATGTAATGTATGGTGATTAACAGAACATAATAGAAAAAACAGGACCTCAAAAAATAAATTCATAAATACATAAATATCAGTGCTACAATAAATGCTATGAAGAAAACAGAGTAGCTGAAAGAATGAAAGCTGGTAAAAGCAAGAGGCTTTGACCCTACCACCCAACAACGGCACTACTAGGTATTTATTCAAAGGATAAAAACATAGTAATCTGAAGGAGCACATGCACCCAGTGTTTATAGCAGCAGTGTCCGCAACAGCCAAGCTATGGAAAGAGACCAGATGTCCATCCACAGATGAATGGATAAAGATGTGGGGTGTGTGTGTGTGTGTGTGTGTGTGTGTGTGTGTGTGTGTGTGTGTGTAAAGGAATATTACTCTGCCATCAAAAAAATGAAATCTTACCAATTTGCAATGACCTGGACGGAATTAGAGGGTATTATGCTAAGCGAAATAAGTCAGAGAATATGTGAAATTTAAGAAACAAAACAGAAGAGACTCTTAACTATAGGAAACAAACTGAGGGTTCCTGGAGGGGAGGTAACTGGGTGATGGGCATTAAGGAGGGCACTGGTGATGAGCACCGGTTGTTATATGCAACTGATGAATCACTAAACTCTACCTCTGAAACTAATAATATACCATATGTTAATTCATTGAATTTAAATTAAAAAAAGCAAGAGGCTTCCTAGACATAGCTTGTAGAGAATAAGGAATTAGTGTTTATTTAGGTTTGTACCCTCAGCGTTTTTATAAAATGGTCGATAAAAGTCCGTTGACTGTGCAAATGAATGAAGGTGCCCAATGGGTAAAGGAGGGTCAAGAAAAAGACCCGAAGAGCGTGGGCAGCAGAAAGAGGATTAAAGGATTAGGTGTTGGTGCACAAACCAAACCTTAGAATACTTTTAAGGTCTCTGAGCTGACCACGACTAATTCCTGCGAACGGGGATTCAGGATTTGACAACTAACCAGCAAGGTCCCCACGTGTCCCCAGGAGCCAGCTCCCATTGGCGAGCTGTGTATTCCGCGTCCGGAACCACTCTCTTTCTCCGAGGCAGGGGTCAGAGGCGCAGTCCAGAAGCTTCGGGGCGCTTTGGGGACCGCTCTTTTCTCGCGGCTCGGGCTCTGAGCACTGAGGCCGCGTGATTCCCTCCAAAAGTGGACGAGAGAACGGGGAGACGGAGGCTGGGTGGGGGCGCGGACGACCGCAGGACGCCTTCCCACTATGCGGGGTGAGGGAACCGGACTCAGCAAACCCTACCCTTTCCCCGAGCTCTGGGAGGCAGGTCCAGGCGGCCGACGAGAACAGCGAGATCCTGGCCAGCCGGCGTCACTGAAACTCCGAGAAGACAATTCACGAAAGAGTGGCTGAGGGGTCCCGGGGTGGGAGGCAATAGCTCACCTGAGAGGTAATCATGATGCTGGAGTCGATCAGGAAACTCATGGCGAAGTGTAGGGAAGGCTCCTGCCTCCAATTTCCACTCCCTGTTGCTACAGCAAGCTCGGGCCATAGGCCCTTTCACAAAGGCGGACTTCGCCCAGGGGCCACCGCCGGGACCGCGGCTAGCCAGCCCGACGCCATCAAGCTGCGCCGCAGTCAGCCAATCCGCGGCTATATCTAGTGCTTCCCGCTCCGGGCTAGGAGTGGGCGGGGCGACGCGAGGCTCCTGGGAGCAGAGGCCCCGGGGGCGGGGCCAAGGAGAGGGCTCTCTCTGGGGGCGTGGCTTAACTAGAGATGGCCAGGCTAAAAGGGGCGGGGTACAATTAGGTGGTCTGAACATCCCAAAGCTGATGTAATGCGAGGTAGCATTTAATTTCTGAGGCCGAAGATGGTGGTGCCTGAGCCAATATCTTATTTTAAGTGTTAATTCCATTTTGTAATGGTCATGGCTAATAAGATGAAGTTAATGATTATGAGCTAGACCATAATTCAGGCATTGTGTTTTAAATGTTACTACTTATACTTGGCTACACAAACAACTACTTCATTACAGGTGAGGAAGAGTGGAAAGGCAGATGATATTTTTAGCAAATATAGCTAAACAAGTAAATTTCTGGTGTGATAACAGCAACAACAACAAAAAAAGCACACCATCACAAGACAGTGATAATCTCATTGAACTTGGTAGCCATCAGCCCACACCTGGAGTACTGCACTTTTTGTACCACACTTTAAGAGGCACAGAGATGTATTGTAGCATGCTCGGAGGTGAGCCACTAGATGAGGACCAATGGAAGGAACTGAAGTAGGGAGACTCAGGAACATAATAGCTATCTTCGTGTGAAAGAATGAGTAGAATTGATATGGCCCCTGGAAATATATGTAAGACAAAGGACTGGAAGTTAAATGAAGCTAGATTTAATTCAAAACATGGAATAATTCTTTAAGGATCTGAAGATGAATTATTTTAGGAAGTAGTCCCTCTCCCTTGGAGTTGCTCAAATATAGACTGAATCACTACTTCATCCATTCAATACTCATTTCATGAAGGCTTAATGCACTGCTGTGAGGCTTATCCTTTTGCACTCGGGCTCTAGCTAGTCCTGTAGTTCCTGTAGTCTCATAGCACTAGAAGCTGTCTCCATCTTAGGGCAATGACCCTCTATGGGAGCCACTGTTGTCCATACCTGGAAGCACAGCCTTGAGTGCACCTGGCATTGAGGACCTGAGTGTTTAGACTACGGCAATCTGAGTAACTGAGACTCACAGATTTATTACACACAAGAGAAGGTGTCTCTCTTTCTTGGGATTAAACTCTGCCATACTCAGCCGCCCAAACTACCTGTCAGATATCCAGAAGGCTAGGAAGCCATAGAGGTAGCCCTACTATGGAAGAATCAAACCAGAGAACTGGCTACCTCTATCAGGGATGCAGGTAGATGCCCACACAGATGCTACAGATGAATTAGAATTTCATCTAATTGAGATTCAAGGCTGTGTGATAGTGCAGAATTCTGGGAGAGCATATCAAGGCAAACAATTTACCTTGGTGGCTTACTGGGATGCGTGGTGGGGATCAGGGTCTCAGTGAACTTGGCATAGCAGAGAAAGGCATGCAGTCCAATGGGCCCAGCCCCGTGCAAATCTTTGAATGGCACCATTCAGGATTTTCCCTACTGTAACACCTGTGTCCAGGTCAAGGACAGGTCTTGGTGACCCAAAGGACTACTACCCCTTGCTTTTGATTGCAGAATTTATCTAGAAACCTTCATACTAGATTTATGTCCAATTGACTCACCTCTCAAATCACTGGGAGGGATGGCTGAAGCTGAGAGCCACGAGTTCTTGCTCTATTGTCCTCACCTTCGCTTCTCTTTCCCATTAGAGCTGTTACCAATCCCCATGACCAACAATGGCCTCGGAGAGGAAAGGAGGTCTTTCCTCTCGACCCCTGCAGACCAAGTGCACAAACACTTCCCTTATATCTCTGTGTTCCAGCTGAGTCTAAGGTACAGCATTTAATAATAAAACTTTGCTAGTCATATGTTGTAAGACTATGGCAGTTATTATATCACATAGAATAATATTTATGATGGTGATAATAGCTAATACTTACCAAGTGCTTACTATGTGCCAGATACTATTCTTAGATCTTGACATGTACTGATTCATTAACTCCCTAACTTAGTCCCTGACTTGCATCTATATGGCAGACACAATTGTGCTGTTTCTTTTGGAAGCGTATTGAGCACATTGGTACTCATTGGATTCCAGGACTAGGAGAATGAGGCTTAGACAGAGAAAGGAGTTCCCTCTTCTTCCTATTTCTTTTTTCATCCTAGAATCTTTTTCTTTTCAGGATTTGACATTGAAATATCCATTTTCTTCACAGAAAGCCTCACCCCCTATGGGCAGCATAGGATCTTACCCTATGTTCACAACTGGACAAGAAGGTGAAAACATAACTGTGCATTAGCAGTACACAAACAATATCATGGGCTGTTTTCTTATATTTCTAAATTTGTAGGATTATGTTTTTCTACTTGCAAATCAAAATTTCTCTAGAATTTTTTCCCCTGGAACATGATGAATTCCTTCCAATTTATGATTTCAGGTCTTTTAAAAAAAATTTTAGTTATTTATTTATTTGAGAGAGAGAGAGAGAGAAACAGCATGAGAAGGGAGAGGATAAGAGGGAGAAGCAGGCTCCCCTCTGAGCTGGGAGCCCGATGTGGGACTTGATCCCAGGAATCTGGGATCATGACCTGAGCCAAAGGTAGTGGCTCAACCAACTGAGCCACCCAGGCACCCCTGATTTCAGGTCTTTTATCAGACTTTCTAAGGAAGCTTTCTCCCACTAGATCTTTGATGCTCATGGTTCTCTTGTCCTGACTGTCTTTCAGGAGGATCCATATTTATGTGTTGGATTTCTATGGCCTTCTCTCCATGTCTATTATCTCCTCTGTGATAATTTTCATGCCTTTGTTCCTCCTCTTGGCATTCTGGGAGACTTCCTGATGTCGTGATTCTTTACAGTGCTGATCTGGCTTTATGTGTTGCTAATTTTGTTCTTTATTCTTAAATTCTGCTGTGGCTTTGCTTACTAACTCTGCCAGCTCCTTTTCCAACTCAGTCTACTATCTTATTATCTTCTGTTTCATTTATTGCTTTACAGAGTCCGTGTTTTCTTTAAAACTTTTGAGCACACAAAACAGATTTTAAGCTTACTTTTGTTCTTTAAGTAAACATCTTTTGAAATTATGCTATTCTTTTACTTTTGGTGTCCACTGTTTGTTTTCTCCAAGTTGTCAGCTGTCTCTTTTTTGTTGTTTTCCTTGTCTCTTACTCATCTGTCTCAGTATATGTGTAGAACCTAACTAGACACAGTAATTTGCTCAACAGGATTTTTAAAAAGTCAGGAAGAAGGGTCCTTGATTACTGGATAAGTGAGTGACTAAAAAATATTTAAAAGGAAGACAAGTAGTGTGCAATTCAAGAATAATACAGAGTTTCCTAGAAATTATGGCTTCAGTCTGATACAACCATGAAAAAAGAAGTTGGAGAAGGTTGAAGTTCTGATCTGAGCTACATTAGAGTTGTTCATATTTGTTGTCATGCTATAAGAATACCCCTTGTCATTGTGTCTGCCTTAAAGACATGATTGAGGATTTTTGGGTCACATTATATTCTGTGGGTTCAACTCACATTTATTTGATCTCATCCATTTTCTGTTGGTTTTATTAATCTAATTCAATTCTGGAGATGCCTTGGTCTTTCTTCCATCCATAGGTCCAGCCAGTGTAGAGATGATAACTGTAGCAAGTGAGAAAGGTAGAAAAATAGACCTGGAAAACCTGGATGAATTAGAAAACCTGAACATTTTTCAGGAAAGCTGAGTGTTAGAGAAAGAGAAGCTGGGGGGTGGGGTGAGGGGTGAAAGCCCCTCAAAACTCTGTCCTGGCCCAAGGAGTCATGACCAGACATTGTCCTTGGCTAAGGGCTTCCCTCATGGTGGCAATTGCACAGCCATCTGGAATTAGCATTATAGTTACCATCCATTCAAATCCTGCCTGATGAAATCCTTAAAACAAAGAAAAAGGAGCCATAGTTGATGTCTTTACCTCAAACCCTCCTCCTTGCTAGTTCATTGTTTCTACAGGAGTTGGAACAGTCTGAGGGAAAGTGACCAATAAAATATGATGGAAGTAATGGTATGTGACTTCTAAGGTTTGGTCATAAAAGACCTGGAAGCTTTTGCCTTGGTCTCTTGGATAACTTGCTCTAGGGGAAAGCAGCCACCAGCTCAAGAGACCCTCAAGCAGACCCAGGAGCAACTGGCTCTGGCAGGGCTAACTTGCAAGTCATGTAACCATGTGAGTGAGTCGGTCCTACCACCCCAACTGCAGGCCCTGTCAATAGCTGACTGCAACCTCATGAGAGATCCCAAGCTACCCCAGAATTCCTGACCCACAGGAAGTGTGAGAGATGATAAATGCTCATTGTTGTTTTAAGCCACAAAGTTCTGGAATGATTTGTTACTCAGCAATAGATAGCTAATACATCGATCATCAGAGGTGACATTTTTACTAAATATTTGCATGGCATAGCCTGGAGCTCTAGCCTTGTAGCCTTGGATTTTCATTTCTTCACCATTCACTGTTCAACTGGTAGGTCAAAGGAACAGATTTTAGGTTTTTGTTATAACCACATCTAACCTCAGTTTCTATCGATAGGTAAGGTATTGCTAGATCCTATAACAGATAAATCTTGAGATCTCAGAGGGCTAACACTATAAGGTTTATTTTTTTAATTTAATTCAAAGTTCAAAAGTCCATTTAGAAATTGTTAGAGATGGGAAGGCCCTCTGATCTACAATCATTCAAAGACTCTGACTGCCATCTTCAATATATGGCTTCCAAGTTTGCTCTGGGTGATGACATCTAGCAATTCATGTGAAAATCTTCCCACCCCCACCTTCCTTTATTTATGACAAAGCAAGCCTGCTTGCTTCCAAGCCTGGAACCCCTGGGACCTTCAGGGAATCTCTTCCTCAGAAATATTCCTATGTTGAGTCAGCCTAGAGTACATCCCTTTGGTGATGGGGAGTGCTAGGCCAATTATCTCCTTCCTGCCTTGGGAGATGTCTCAGTACTTATTCATGCATTCACCAAACATTACT